GAGCCCGATGCGGGACTCGATCCCGGGACTCCAGGATCATGACCTGAGCCGAAGGCAGTCGCTTAACCAACTGAGCCACCCAGGCGCCCCGAGGGTAGTCTTTAAATGAGCAACAGTCATGCCTTTCTTCCTGGGTATTTCAAGAAAGGAAGACTTGGCAGTCAGATTAACAGTGGAAGAGAGAGGGCCGTTGGGGGCAGGTTTGGAAATATCTGTCTTTTTTGGGGGGGAAGGCTTCTGGAGGCAAGCAGCCCTAGGCAAGGGCCCCTGGAAGGTGTGGCCCGGCTGACTAAGGCCCTGGGCCCAGCTGTCCACAATGATTCACGATTCTTAGGAATGAAACTTTACGCATCAAGAATGCTTTGGGGAAACAAGCCCAGTGTTGATTTGAGTGACTGCTTGAGCTTATAAATTCTGAAAGCAAAGTTTCAATCAAGATTATACTTTGCAGTGGGGTAAGCACTGAAAAGGGGAGGGAACCACAGAGGACAGCCTGTGCCACGTCCATGTGGGGCCCACTCTCTGACCACATTGCCCCTGGGCAGGAGCTCTATGTGGTCCCTGTGCTAGGCACTGCTGGGGACAACGGGACAGGAAAAGACAGTACATGCCCCTGAGCAACGGAAGGAACATCAAGTCAAGGACACAAGGCAAGGAGAAGTCAGGGATGGAAATGGCTGGCTGTGCCTCACAGCAGGGAAAGATCACGGTGGACCGGTGTGCTGGAGGCAGACTTCATGAGGGAGGCGACAGGTGGGCAGGGCCTCACAGAAAGGAAGTGTGTTGTCTGTCTAGGGGGTAGGCCCAGGCTTGGGCAGGGTCACAATAGGAGACCCACAGGAGACCAGCACTCATCACCCCTAGCCTTTCAATGGGGGACCTGCCCTGTCCTAAGAACTGTCCTTCGACTACCCTCTCCCTTATCTGCCCGCAGACAACCTGGTACCAGAGACACCAGGGCGTTAGTCATACCAAGATATGAGTTCCCTACCGATGATGCACAGAGCCTGTGCTGGGAAGTGGTGGCCGACGAGCAGGGAGGGCTGGCCAGGGCACAGAGCCACGTGAAGGGGTGTTTAGATTTTATCCTGAAGGCAATCGGAACCCACTCAAAGGCTTTAAGCAGTGGAGTGAAATGATCAGTTCTGTATTTCAGAAAGACTGCACAAGCTTTTGGAAGTATAAGGAGAATGGCTTTGGGGGTAAGATGGAAAGAAAGGAGGCCAGTTAAGAGGCTGTTGGTGAAAAAGGAGGAATTCGGAGGGTGGGGGGAACACATTTGAGAGATGCAAAGGTATGGTGCACACGGTCGGTTTTCATCTTCCCTCCTTTTTTATCCTGGAGTACCTATTCATGTTTTTAGCTGTTTGGTGCAATGGACCTCGGACCTCAGACCCCCCACGCCCCGGCCTGGTGCACTTACCAAGAATGGGATGGAGGCTGGTGAGCAAGAACGGTGTGGTGCTGGTGAGGGCTTCAGCAGCAGCCAGCCTGGACTCTGTGGGAAGGTGTTCTCCACAGGAGAAGGCGACCAACTGAACCCACGACTTCAGTGTGGGGGCCACCGAGTCCCTGGTCTGAAAGCACAAAGCGTATGGCAGGTCCGCACGTGCAGGTAGGGGCTGACATGGAATTAGATCTGAGCCACATACCCCACACTGGATGTGCAAATTAGCTCTTACTGCAGGGGAAGAAAAGTTTTCTAGTTGTTTTTCCAACCCAACTAGGGAGAAATAAACAAGCTCAGGGAAGAAAATGTGACTTGTCTTTCAGTAATACTGAGTCACTAGAACTAGCAAGAAAGTTCCTGGAGTCTTTCTGATGCAAATCAGGGTATCAGAACATTGGTGTATTTGACAGTTTCAGTAAAGACAAGCCTTCTGGGGAAAGACTATGGTAGCAAATAATACTGTTGTTTCCCATAGCCAGATGCTCCTTCTATCTTTAGTAACAGAACCTCAAATTTTGGGCTGGGCATAAAGACTACATTTCCCAGACCCCCTTTCACTTGGGAGTAATATATGATTAAGTTCTGACTAATGGTGTATTATTTTTAGGTCATGCCTTAGGAAACAGAGGTGACCTTTACTTCCCAGGTTTCTCTTTCCTGCTAGCTGAACAAGGACAAGATGGTGGAAGCTGGAGCAACCATTTGGGACCATCAGATGGAAGCCATGTTGAAAACAGCAGAACAAGGTCCAAGGGTCTGGGGACCCAATAGTGTCATGCCACCGTATCTGCTTTGACTGCTGTGATCTGGTTTAAGCCACTGTATTTATGAGTTTCTGCTATAACATGTAAAGCAGCATCCTAACTAACATTATGGTTCCAACAAAGCTCTATTTTTCTATAGTAACAGCTTTTTTTATTGAGATACGATTCACATACCATACAATTCACCCATTTAAAGTATATAGTTGAATTCTTAGTATATTCACAGGTTTGTACAACCATTACCACAGTCAATTTTAGAACATCTTCATCACCAAAAAGAGAAATCCTTAGTTAACAACCCCCATCCTGTCATCCTGTCAGCTCCCAGCCCTAAACCACTAATCTACTTTCAGTCTCTATGGATTTGTCTATTCTGGACATTCCATATAAACTGAACCATACAATACGTGGTCTTTCATGACAGGCTTCTTTCATTTAGCATATTTTTAAGGTTCATCCATGTTATAGATGTATCAGCACTTCATTATTTTTTGTGACTGAACAGTATTGTTTTGAGTGGACATACCACATTTTGTTTACCCATTCATCAGTTGATGGACATCTGGATTGTTCCCGTCTTTTAAACCTGATTTTCTATGTATTCTAGAAAGGGGATTATTGTTCCAAATGTACTTTACTTCCCGTATCAAAGAAGCCTCTTTAATTGTTCAAAATTACTAACGATGGGCCTCTGTGGAACTAAACAGATGAGCATCTTAGACCTTGAGGAAGAGGCCGACTCCCAACGTACAAAGAAACCCAGGTCTTCCTGGGAACTTCTTTTATGCATTTCTCTATGGTTTTGTTAATTTTTCTCTCCCTGGAAAACTCCCAATTTTTACCAAATACTGCTTCATTCAAGTACCAAGCAGTGCCTCTAAGACACACATGAATACTGGTTAAAAATGTCTGTGGATGAGAACGAGGTCTTTTGGCAGATGGGACAGGCTGCCCTGTGACTGCTTTCTTAGAATTTCTTTTTTTTCCCTCTGGGCTGTAGTTTTCTTTTCAGCAAATCCTCTCCCTTCCTACAAACCTCTCCCCTTCAACCCACCAACACACACTACTGACTTTTTTTTGGCTCTTTGTCTCTCCTGGTGACCAGCCAACTTTGGCCCCCTGGCCTGCCTCTGAATGCCCCACAGCAACCGTGGATCTGCTTAGCTCTCACCCTCTGTCCCCTCTGCCTAGCCGCCGCTCTCTGGACACAACCACCTCCTTCGTGAAGTCTTCTCCTTAGCAGCCTCGCACTCCCTTCCTCCTCTGGATTCCTCCGGCCTCCTCCCTAGCAGGGCATTTAATGTCACGATCTAACGCTCCTCCTTGCTCATGACACTGTCCCTCCGTCCTTGTTCATCTCCCAATCTCCCACACCTCTGGCTGTGCTGCTTTACGGTAAGGAACTGGAACCCACGGTGTTACGCTGCCACCATCACAGCGTGGTCACGTGTAACCAGGAGCTTCAGGTAATATTACTGTAGTATCGACTGCCTTCTACTTGTAATAATACTCTGATAGGGACAGCTTTCTGATGCCCCTAAGTATACATGTATTTGTCTTAAGGCATCTTCCCAGGAAGCTGTTTTGGTTACTTTGGTTCCATCTTTCCCCCAAAGGACATGTGAGACAGAGGGGGCACATCCAGGCCTCCATACAAAGCCAGCTGGGCCATGTTCTGGGGGAACAGTTAAGCCTTAGGGATGTATTTTCATACTTAGTTGGCCAGGGTGCAATCCCAGTGACTTGCTCACTCGCTCTTTGAAAAAAGAGTCTAGCTAGAAAAATAGGAAAAAAACCCACAAAGGGTTGGGTGTGTGTGTGTGTGTGTGTGTGTGTGTTTGTGTGTTGGTGTTGTATGAGAGGAGGTTGTGTTACCCTTATGGACTCAAATCAAGCATGCCCAGGACAAGAGAAAAGAAATGCTGATGGTGGCGCTCAGAAAATTCTACAGAAGTTATACCCAAAGTGAAACATCCACATGAATAACATTTTTGTAGAGGCGACACATACATATGCCCCAGTGATTCTGCTTTGCTGAGACAGTTCACTTTCACCGACGCTTTCCTGGTAAATAAGAGCATGAAGACCCAGACCCTAGGCCACAGGCCCAGTCAGCCTTACCTCCTCACACGTCTGCAGGTGGTGGGTGATCACTCTGGAGGCAAGTCTCAGAGCTACACTTTGAATTTCAGACCTAGAAAAAGTAAGCCAAAAACACAAAGAAATAAAACCAAATGTACTTTGTATACAGATGGGTTTTTGTCAATAGTCTGTAATCCATGCCATTGCGAATGGTGGACACGCTCACCTCAGGGCCACACAAATGCCACCAGAAGGGATTACCTTTTGGTTATTAATGTGAAAACTCTGACATCATTCTATGGCTTGAGCTTAGAACATGCTCCCAGGCTGAGATTTAGAAGGAAACACAGGACCTAAGCCCTTCAGCGAGGACCGTGCCCGAGTTCACTATGTGACTGACTGCTGGGACAGACCCCACATCATGCCGGAATGCACGGGGAGCACTGGGGGCAAACCTTTCATTGGAAGCAATATCCATCGTCCAGATCAGGAACTCCTTTGGGGTGAGGTGAATACAGTGCTCCGTCTGCGGAAGCCACTCGCTGGGGTCCATGCAATGGAGAATCTTCAGTATCTGTGTGTGTCAGATCCACGGGAAAAAAAATACTCAGGAAAAAGTCTCCAGAAGCCAAAGAATCATCACTTGTACCAATAAAGGGGTCTACCTTTCAAAAAGCATCACTGACTTCTTATTTCCCCCTTAATATTTTTGGGAGACCAAGACAGGGTGGAGCAGTGACACACCCAGGGGACCTTAGTGACCTGGGATCAGAGTCTAGATGCCCCGATTCCTAGGCCAGTGCCCTTTCCTTTTGATGATGCTTTCTAGGTGGCCATCTGTCCCCAAACAGCCATGTTGACAAAGACTACCCTCTACCACATTCTACCAATTTTCAAGGCTGCGTTTCTTAGAGTGCTGATGGCTTACTCTCAACCTCTACCTTGGCTTATTGCCATCATTACCATTGTGATCACTTTTTTTTAGCTCCCTTCCATGCACAAAGCCCTGACAAGCACTATACAAAGAGAGTCCTTGCCCACTGGATGCGGCATCTCCTTCCTATTGCTCCTGGGGAAGCCCAACCCAATCCTGCCTACGTGATCTTGTTACGGCGAGCTTGCCAAAGAGTGAGGGGAGCAGAAGGGAAAACGGTCAGTACACCAGAAACTTTACCTTGCAGAAGCATTCTGGGTGATTTTCCTTCATAGCCAACATCAAGAATGTCCCTCCCATATTCCACAGCAAGGGTGGCAGTCCCTTCTCTCCTAATCCAGAGGCTGCTGTCGAGAACCTATCCAGCAGGGCGTCTAATGTCAGCAGGCGCACTTCAGGGAAAGAAGACTCCAACAGCTGAGAGAAGAAGATGGGAATGTTCCCTGTCTGCTCTCCAGCTTGGGCTGTGGCGATGGCTAGTTTGGTGAGGCTCTGGAGGTACTGGGGCAGGCCTGGCACCGTGAAGGTGTAGGGGAATCCCGTTATCAGCTCTGATCCCGAGATGATCCTTCTGACGTCCTCCCAGAAGCCAAGATGCTCCACAGCTAAAAAAGCAAAAAAGTGAAGGGAAAGAGGTAATCACTTTATTCAAAGTTCCACAAAAGTTCAGTGGAGAATGCAAGGCGCTGGGTACACAGGGTGGGACTACCAGATGCCTTTCTTGAATAGATTTCACACGAATGATGTGATAAGTGACTAGCCCACTTAGGTTCAGAAGTCTGAAGGCATGAACCAGAAGTCTGAACCTAAGTGGGTTAGTCACTTATTACATTTGCCCAGAAGCAATTTCTGTTTAGGTAATTCATAGTGTTTCCCCTAGAGGGACAAAAGGCATTGCTATCAGAAAATGTGCTCCTGGCACCCCTCCCCAACACTTAATAGGTATGAACTCAGGGACCTCCCGACTTACTAAGCCTCAGAGTTGAGCAGGACATCTAGTCCAAACTTCCTTCAGGGGCTCAGATCCCTCTATAGCACCTTTCCTCAGAAGCTCCTAATTCACCCCTACAGTGACTCAGAGCTCACAAGACAGACCGCCTAGTCCATTGTTAGGAGATCTAAGTATCACCAAGTTCTCTTGAGACTTTCTACTCACTGGCCTAATTCTGCATTTTGAGGTTCTCAGTGAACCCTTCAGGCATGATAGCCCCCATCTTCTCCAGATGAAACACCCCTACTTCCTTCAACTACTCCCCATATGGTGGGGTTCATCTTCTCTTAATAGTCTAGCTGCCCTCCTTTGGACATGCTTCACCCCTCTTAAGGTCTGGCGTCATAGAATGGAACATGACACTCCCGTGTGGTACGACCACAGGACGATGACTTTCCCTGTTCTGACACTAGGTTACTGGAGTTGCATCACACTGTTGACTCATGGAGCTTAAAGTCAACTGAAACCACAGCCTTTCTTTTTTTACATGGTCTACTGAGCGTGGTGAGTCATCTTTCTCCCACCTTGTACTCAGTCCTTAATCGGGACTTGTTTTCTTTGTTTGTTTGTTTTAAACCCAAGTAGAACCACCGTTAAATTTTATCTCCCTGTTAAGTTTTATGGTCTCCCTTTTAGATTGCCAAGATCTTTTTGTATTCTCACTTCTGATCAAAAAAACACTTATTGCCTGCTTACTATGTGCTGGGTGCTAAATAAAATAAGAACACCTTCAGGAGTTTCTAGTCTAGTTTGAGAGTGAGAAATGAATGACCAGGTAATTCCAATACAGTGGTGTAAATGATAATCTGAGTTTTCAAGGGAAAGGGAGGGGAGAATGTATTGGAGCCACCGAAGGCAGAGCAAAGGTCCAAAGGCATGAATCAGAATGGACCATGTGGGGAATGACAGGCAGTCTGATATCACTACAGCATGGAGTTCAAGATGGGGAACAGCAAGAGACAAGGCTAGAGAAGTATTGTGGACAAGACATTCAGAACCTCCTAGGCCATGCAAAGGAGCCTGGACATTCTTCTGGAGGCAAGGGAATGCCACTGGGGGGTTATTTCAAGCAACAAGGTCAGGCAGTAGTCTAGGAGAGAAATGATGAGGGAAGGAAGGGATAGGGAGGAGAAGATGGATTTGAGAAGTCAGTGAGGGAGTAAAATGGGCACTACTGGGTGACTAACTGGGGGAAGATTCTTCGGTACCTCCCAGAACCCCGATGCTCCATACAACACATTCATCATCCAACAGTTGTGTAAACCTCAATGTGATAAGCATGCCATAAATGCCTGCAATCAGATACTTACTGAAGCTGTGGACTGGGCCAGTGTGGAGGGCAGAGGGCATCGGTGAGTGTTAGAAGCGGCTCCCTGTCCCGTCCCCCGCCTACTCCAAACTCTCACCAATTCATTACTAGTTATAAATCCTCCTAACCTGACCATCCTGTGCACGGAATTTCATCTACAAGAACATCGGGATAGACTTCATCAGAGGCCTGGCTGAAATTTAGGTATCTCTTAACTTGGTGAACACTACTGACTTCTAGAAAACTATCATAAACATAATAGAAGTGTAAAAGATTATGGTAATAAAAAAACACTTACTTGAAATTGCAAAATCTCAGAGGCTTGCAATAATTCAGCAATTAAAAACATAGAGTGTTCACGTTACACATCAAATTGTTAAAAAAGAAGTTTGCCCCAAGAGGCAAGGTGGGGGCTCAAGCTCCAACATGACTGGGCCCCCTGGAGGACACCATCCACCATCTGCCAACTGTGGTTGCAGACACACTTCTGCTCTTAACTCAGAGTCTGCGGAAGTCCAAGTTCAAGTAGGAGGGCAGCCATCTTTATAAAGCGGCAAGGAAGCCCCAGGTAGTTGGGATCCTCAACCTCTGTGTCACCATCTCTATTTTCAATGCCTAAAAACCTATCCCAGTACAATTTAGTAATGACACCACCACACCATGTGGTCTCCAGGTACCACTTCCCTACCCTTCCCACCTACTGCTGCCTCAGGACAACACTGTCTTAAAATTTTCATTTGTTTGGCAAGGAGTCAGAAACATGGCTCAGATTCTGCTCTTTAGAACGTAATTAAAAACAGGAAGAACTGTCTAGGCCATTCTGGATAATTTTCAGAGGAACCTGTTATCTGAACGAGAGATATTCCAGGCAGAGTGCATTGTTCATTGGACTCAAGAGCCAGGCACGCAGACCCATTTTCTTCCTCTAGGGCCTTGAGGAAGGATGAAATCATCAAGAACCTAGGGCCTGAAGGCACTGGCCCAAAGACAGGGAAGATGGGGGACAGGCTTAGGAAGGGCTCCTTTGGGACTTCTTAGCCTACACTGCCTGTGGAGTTCAGTGCAATGTCATAAGCATTCACTGAGCATATATTAGGTACTTTGGGAGAAGGAGATTCAGAGTTGGGAAAGAAAAATTACTTGCTATCAAAAAGCTTTACAACTAAGCTTTTTGGGAGGATAAAGACAGCTACAAAAAGTACAAAATGCTTAGTGCCCTAAAATTGTCAGTGAGAAAAGCTAGATTTATGTGCCATACACTACAGAATGTTATATACCCATTGTTCAATGCTAGGAATAATTACTTTTAGAATTGACACTTGAGTACTATTCTAAGCACCTCAACAAGTATTAACTCATTTGAAGAAGTAGGTGCTAGTATTATTTCCGTTTTACAGATGAGGAAACAGAGAGGTTAAGTTACTTGCCCAAGGTTGCCTGGGACGGGAGGTAAAGAGAATACACGAGCCATAAGAAAGACCAAAATAAATGTGATGGGCACTTATTTTCTATGGGAAAAGACAAAATAAAAGCTTTCAGGAGGGAATAAAATTTAAGATGGGCCCTGCAGGCTGCCCAGTGGTGCCTGACTGGGGGAGGAAAGGGCAAATGCTCTAGGGGAAATTAAGAGACAAAGAGTGGGGTGCCTGGGTGGCTCAGGTGGTTAAGCGCCTGCCTTCAGCTCAGGTCATGATCTCAGGGTCCTGGGATCGAGCCCCGCTTCTGTCTCTCTCCCCTGCTCGAGCTCTCCCTCGCTCAAATAAATAAATAAATAAGTAAAATCTTAAAAAAAAAAAAAAAGAGAGAGAGCAAGACAAAGACTGACCTGTGACTAGGTTTGCTGAATTAATGTGTCAGCAGGGGAGCTGTGAGGTCAGGGCTACAAGCTAGGAAATAACCGAATGACATTCATTTAGACACTTTCTCCTAGCTGCTTAGGAATCAAACAAACAAGCAAACAAAAAACAAAAACAAAAACTTTGTTGTGCACTCAGACCCAAAGAGATGACCTAAAGCAGAGTTTCTTCAACTGGAGAACTGGAGTGAGCCTCAGAATCACCTGGAGGGCTTGCTAACCCATAGACCGCTGCCCGGGCCTCACCCTCCAAGTGTCTGATTCAGGAGGTCTGCGGAGGAGGCTGAGTTTGCATTTCTAATAGGCTCCCAGGTGATGCTGCTGCTGCTGCTGGGCCAGGTGCTTGAAAACCACTGCCCTCAAGTGATGCTTCGTAACCAGAGCTTATTAAAACCACACGTACCTGAATCCCACGCTTGCATGCTCGGAGTCCGTTGGCTTGAGGTGGGCACAGACACCTGGAGTCTTAAGAAGCCAACGGCTAATTCTGCTCTGTACCCCAGCTGAGAACCATGCTCCTAAGACTCGACCATGTTCACAGGGGCCTGTTGGGCTTCTGGGTGGGGAGGTAGGGAGTTGCAGTCCCAAGCAGAGCACAGCTGATTCCAGCCCAGTGGTTTGCTAGAGTGAAGGACTAGAAAATTCCCCTACACCCCTTTTCTCTTACAAATAAAAACATCAAAGGAGGGAAAACCACCAAGAATTCAGAAGAATGACTAAGCACTAGAATAAAGGCCCCTGGCAGGCAGGCAGGCCTCAACGCCAGCTCACTAGGTGCAGGCTCTGTTCTTGGTCTAGGATTTTGCAGTGAAACAGACCAGGCTCTGTTCTCATGGCGTTCCCATGTAGGTGGGGACCTCAGACCACCCTCTGTGCCTACAGCGAGGAGTTCTTGAGCTGGAACCGGAGGCTGGAGTTAGAGCTAACAATACTGTCACATAAGCAGCTGCAGTGACTAGAGCTCTAGAAGAACCACCATGGCAGGGGACACTTGACTGCGTGTGTGGGGCGAGCGTGGTTATAAAGGACCGGGTGATTCTGGGGTGACTCTCCCAGGCTTGGCTGCCACTGCTTTACCAGCTCTGCACCCCACAGCTGGTAGACAGAGTTCACCAAGTGGTTTCACAGCCAGGACTTCTTCCTGGCCAAGCACCGTTTCGTGTCCTGCCCTACCAAATGCATTTTCCAAAGTCTAGATCAACATGGGGTGTTTCTTTCCATTTCCCTCAGTAACTGTTGTCCACAGCCCGCAAAAAACTGAGATCAGTTCTTCGATGGGATTCCCCAGTCTGAGGTTTAGCCCCTCTCTTCTTTGGAAGATAACATTTCTATTTGCAATTTCCATTTTGATTGCTTTGGGTTTCTTCTTTCCAATCTTTCTTAGAAAGCCAAGGGTTCCAATGAAAAGAATCAAGTCCCTCCTTTAACGGCCCCATCTTATTTTTCAAAA